CATACTTCTCAGGTACTCCATTCCTCAACAAACAGTTCCATAGTGCGGTCCTATCGACAGAGTCGAAGGCCGCGCGAATGTCTAAGAATACAATGACCGTTGGTCTTTGGTGGGCATGACGGTGTTCTAGCAGCTGTCGGAGGGTGAAGATTTGATCGATGCATCCACGACCAGCGCGAAACCCAGCCTGCTCTTCACGCGTGGGGTACAATCGGCGGAGAATGACGGACGCCAACAGCTTTGGCGCTATCGGAATCAGGCTTATACCCCTGTGATTGGCGCAGTCATTGCGCGGGCCCTTTTTGAAGATGAGGACAACAATTGATTCCCCCCACAAGAAGGGGACTAGCTCAGTGTTCCACACTTTGGAGAACATGACGTGGAGTTCTCTAACAAGCTTTAATCCACCATCTTTAAATAGAGCAGGGGAAGGCCATCGGAACCCGGCGCTTTGTGACGACCCAAGGCTTGGATCTCCTTGCGGATTTCCATCTCAGAAGGTGGGTCTGTTGTGACAGACCATAAGACGTGTGCCGGAATAGCTGTGTGAGAAGCTGGCGCGGGTGGCCAGCTAAACTGTGCTTTGAAGTGCTCCGCCCAGCGTTCAAGACGTTGTTGATTGTGAATTGGCGAACCTTCAGCTTCGCAGATTGTTTCGCTCACACCTAAGACTTTCCTACCGGTGACCCGGATGAGATGAAACAGCTTACGGAAATTTTCCATGGCGACAGCACGTTCCATCTCGGACGCGCGTTTGGTCCACCAGATCTCGCGGTCTCTGCATAGGCTTACGTTGAGGTTACGACTCGTTGGTCGTCGTATTTCATTATGCTCGCTGCCGGTCGGAATTGATCGGCGTGCGTCGAGAAGCCGTAGAGATTCCGCAGAAATCCAGGGTGTCACGGCACGACGTGTCAGACCACAACTAACTAAGCCAGCAGAATGCAGAGCATTCTTGACAAGCGACCATTGCTGGTTAACGTCATCGAGTGGGGTTGATTCTAGCTTTTCAGCTAGCGCGTTCTGA